TGTGTGTCTGTGTATATGTGTCTGTATGTGTGTCTGTGTATGTCTGTATGTGTCTGTGTATGTGTGTCTGTATGTGTATCTGTATGTGTGTGTCTGTGTCTGTGTGTCTGTGTGTCTGTGTGTGTGTCTGTGTGTGTGTCTGTGTGTCTGTCTGTGTATGTGTGTCTGTATGTGTCTGTGTATGTATGTCTGCATGTGTGTGTCTGTGTATGTGTATCTGTATGTGTGTGTCTGTGTATGTGTGTATGTGTGTCTGTGTGTATGTGTCTGTGTGTCTGTATGTGTATGTGTGTCTGTGTATGTGTGTCTGTATGTGTGTGTCTGTGTATGTGTGTCTGTGTATGTGTGTCTGTGTGTCTGTATGTGTCTGTGTGTCTGTATGTGTATGTGTGTCTGTGTGTCTGTATGTGTGTGTGTTGATTCCTTTTGTCTTTTATTTTAGTCTTGTCTCCAAGCAGGTCCTGTCAGAAGCTCACATGCAGGAAGGCTGGCTTGTTTTGCTATGCAGAGAATATTAATTTCTTTCAAGTTCAATTTTCCTTCCTAGGCCCAGGGGATACTATTCACTGTGCAGTGGAAACACTGGGGTCTTCAGGCAGACAGCTTTGGGTTCAGGTCCCACCTCTCTTCTCAACAGTGGCTCCAGGCTGCACTATTCTCTGACAGAAAACAGTCTGGTTGATGGAGGCAGAAAGGAGTGTCTGGGAGGAGCCTGGATTGTTCCCAGTCTCAGAAGAGCAGTCTGAGGGATCTGACTGGATACTTGGGAGAAAAATTAGGTGGCTTAGTCAGGGCCAGGGCTGAAGTCATACCTGGAGCTGTCTCCTGAGGATGCTGCTATCAGTCTGCCACCACCCACTCTGTATCTGGCAGGATGCTGGTGCCTAGACTCTCTGGTCACTTGTTCCAGACTGAGTCTCTACCTAGGGTTTCTCTACCCAACTAAAGTAGAATGTCTCCCCACTACCAGGGAGCTGGGCTTCTAAGATATCAATTTTGAGGTAGAAAAATAATGACAACTCACATTGGCTGGACTTCTGATTAACTGTGATTTTTCATAGATGTAGTATCTATCTCCCCCACTGAGCACTCAGGGAAACTAAGGCCCAGAGAGTGAAGTATGTTGCCTGGAATCATACTAGTAAGAGGAGGCTGGACTGGTCTTCCCACTCAGGCAGGCTGCTGACACTAGAGCTAAGATCATTGCTTCTTAGGAAGTCTCTCCCATAGGCAGCTCAGTTGGAAGTGAATCTCCACCGAGCACAGACACTAGGTGGCCTGAAGAAGAACAAGCTGGGTGTGTGGCGTCAGGCAGGTTTCTGAGCTTCCTGTATCTCAGAGGCCTCCCTGGTGAAGGATGGTGGTTGATTGAAGGATGGTAATGGTGGGGTGACGGTGGCTCATGAGAGAGCACAGAACTTGAATATTCTCCCTGCTGAGCACCCATGGGATCTCTGCCTTCTGCTGTCCCCTAAGCTCTTGGTCCCAGGCCTTAAACTCACTTCTCCAACTAC